TCCTGCAATTCACCATATTGAAAACATCTGGCAAAATTCAACACTCATTCATGATAAAATGTTATCACCAATCTTAGAATAGAAGAGGACTCAACCTGAGAAAGGGCATGTACAGGTAACATTGTACTGAATGCTACATGACAATGTTTTTCCCTTAATATTGAAAAATCACTTTGGTTGCAGAATGAAGAATGGATTGTGGAGAGATGGGTAAAAGTCAATGATATAATTGCATATGGCAATAGTTCAGGTCAAGATGAGAGCTTAGACTTGGATGGCAGCAATATAAATGACAGGTGTTTAGGAAGACTGAGCTCATTCACAAGTTGGTGATTATTCACAAATTGAGGGAGAGATCTACTAGGTATTAGCTTACTCAGCTGGATGGATGGTGCTGCCATTCATTGGCAGGAAAATTAGGATGATTTTCTCTATACCATGGTCCCCAAAAGTCATTTAGAAGAGTCTGATATCTGTAGAAGATATCTGTATTCAGAATGGAGGTGAGGTATTTTCAATTATATCGAACTATGTTTACATACACAGGGCTTCCTGACTGCAGGTAGTAATTGAAGAAAAAAGCAGGTCTTATGAAATAAATGACTGGAAAGACATGTCAATACCGAAATACTGGAGAAGAGGGGAGAATGATATATTTCAAGGTGCTCTAGAACAAAGCTCTTTGACATATTATTTGGTTTAAGTATTACCACAGCCATGTGAGGTAGAATTTTTCCAATACCTGTTTTTAGATGATTTGAGTACCAATTTATTAAGTGATTTGTCCAAAACGATTCAATGGCGAAAGAGGTTTTTAAATTTAAATCTCCTGATTTCAGTGTACCTAATCTTTTCAATGCTACAGTAAAAGTTAGTTTCAGCTAAGAAGAGAGTCATTGGAAGGAATTCAGGTCTGCAGACTGGGTCCTCTCTGATACGCTATTTCTCTTTTCTCTAACCCGGCTAAATCCTACTCATCCTTTGAGGCTCTGTTCAGATTGTTCATCTGTAAATCTTTTGCACCCATGCCTGCTGACTGATTACTTCCATTAAAAAAAAAAATTAAACTATATGTTATTTAATGTAATATGTTAAAGCAGTATAATTTCAACATGCTATCAATATAAAAATGATATTTCACATTTTTCTCTACCACATATTTGAAATCCAGCATGTATTTTATACTTACAATGAATCAAAGTTGGAAGTAGTCTCAATTCCAGTGCTTAGTGGCTAGTGGCTACTGTACTGGAAAGCAGAGGTCTATAGTCTAACCCCTTCGAACCTTCAGTGTGATACCTTAAAATGTGCAAAAAGAGGTGCATAATAGTTGATCCAAATTAAATAATGCTCTGTTAAGTTGGGAAGCGAAAGACAAAATATCTTAGCATTTAGACCTTTTCTGATTACCGGTGAGACATTTTGCTGTGGTTGAAGAATGGCTATGCAAATCTTTTTGACATCAGTTTTACAAATAACTTTGCAGAGTGGTTTCCTCTTTCCATTACCTCGTTGAAAGTCTGTCTGGGCACCTGGTTATTTTGCTCTCTTTCCCCACTTAAGAGTTGTTCATTCTGCCATTCAGTAAATACCTGTTGACACTTTATTGACCAAATGTGCTAGATGCAGGATGTCAAAGATATCCCATGTCTGCTTTCACAAAGCTTCCAAAGCAGTGATAAAGAGAAAGAGGGTGAAAAACATGTGAAAACACATCTTTGTGTTTTATTTGACAGTTATCACTCTGTGTCAACTATTTGTTTGAATATTAGTTTGCCTCTTTCTTTAACTGGAGTGAGAGGAATGGACTTTTATTTTCTAATTATTTTTATCTTCTTGGGACCTAGCTGAATGCCTTAATAAATGTGCCTGGAATTCACTGCAATGGATGAATTAAAAAAAGTGCTGTTTTCTAGAACAGAGAGCCCTACAAAGTATACTAGGAATATAAAGAAACATTTCATCTTCCCAATGGAGAATAGAAAGGAATATAAGGCAGAGGGGACATATGGTCCAGGTCTTGAAGGACTTGACATAAATTGAAGACGCTGGTAAGAAGGAAATTTGAGGGAAAGAATGAATAGGAGTTTTCAGATGAGAAAGTTTGGGAGTAGAAGTACATCACTTGTGACGGGGACTCTGTGAACATTTACTTATTAAATAGAAATAGGTAGAGGAGAGAACCTGAAGGACCTGAGGATGCTCTAATTTGTGGAGTTAGAAATGGAGGGAGTGAAGGGTGGTGGCACAGCTGCAGGAACATGGAAAAAAGTGACAGCCACATGTTGCCGTTGTTGCCATTTTAAAGCAAAACAACACAACAGCAACCACCGTCTCGGTGCTGGAAGGTACAGTATTGTGCCCTCTTCTCTTTGCTTTGGGATAATGCCTACTCATTCTTTGTATCTTCTTGGGACCTAGCAGAATGCTTTAATAAATACATGTGGAATCCCCTGCAATGGATGAATAAACGTGTTAGTGACAATACAAATAAATTAATATATTAATATTATTAAATTAATAATAAATGAATAAATATGTGATAATGAACTTAATGATTCCATAATCGCTCATTAACTTGACAATTTCATGCAGGAAAGTTTATGGGCAGCGTGAAAAATAAGAAACCTAGCAGAGTGATATGCTTTTATTTTACTATCATTTGTATAAAGGAAGACAAATATGCCACTAATACCCTTCTAACTTGATAGAACAGTATCGCAAGGACTTGTGCTGTTTAGAAAAAGAGACCCATCAATGAGTAACTTGTCCCCTGGGCAAATTACCATGTAAGACAATCAAAGTCACAGATTTTCATAGGTTCTGTTTCTAGGAAGACAGAAATTTTCAGTCTTCAGAGTCTGAGAAGATCAAGTTCTTCAATTTCTCTCTCTCTCTCTCTCTCTCTCTCTCTCTCTCTCTATATATATATATATATATATATATATATATATATAATTTTTTTTTTTTTTTTTTTGAGACAGAGTCTCTGTCACTCAGGCTGGAGTGCACTGGCGCCATCTCTGCAACCTCTGCCCCCTGGGTTCAAGTGATTCTCCTGCCTCAGCCTTCCAAATAGCTGGGATTACCAGCACATGCCACCTCACCTGGCTAACTTCTGTATTTTTAGTAGAGACAGAGTTTTGCCATGTTGGCCAGGCTGGTGTTGAGCGCCTGACCTCAAGTGATCCACCCACCTTGACCTTCCAAAGTGCTGGGATTACAGGCGTGAGCCATTGCAACCAGCCTCTCAAATTACAGTTCTAAGGACACAGTTTTAATAGAGAAAACAAACTGAAAAACGTTAGAAATATCCACCCACCTCTATATTGTACAGCAAAGTAAATTGATACTCTCTGAAAGTTCCAAGTTGAGACCAAATGTAAGCCTGTACAGCCCAACTTTTCCAGTAAACAGAAATCAAGAAAGCAGTAGGATTTTTACTGAATACTAGTGAAAAAAGAGCACAGTATTAATCTTCCACATAAACAAGGTCACACGGAAGCATGAGAAAACCCCCAAAGTTGCCCTGTTGGTGTTTCTTGATGGAACCCTTCTCTAAGTATCATATCTGACACTCCAACTCCCATCAGTTCCCCCATCGGAATCCTGAGAAAAGCATTTCTTTCTCCACCACCACTGCCAGAGTGAGTCCCCTTTCCCCCAGGCTCTCAGCCACTCCCACTTCCCTTCTAGGCCCGGTTTCCACGTGGCTTATTTCTGCCTCTGGCCTTTTGTTCAGCTTTCCCTGCTTGGGGCACCCACCCTAATCCCTTTAGTTCTTCCACCCATTCTGAACTATTGGAGAAATCACCTTTCATCTAGATTCATTTCCTCTGAACCCTCTAGGCCTTGCTAAGGGGCGGATAGAGGTTAGAGTGAGAGCAGAGGGGGCAAAAGGTTCTGGTAGGCTGTGTTTCAGGACAAGCGCTCTGTGTCTGGAAATGGTACAGAGAGCCACATTAAACAGAAAGGTTTGCTTTTGTGGATGTTTCTGTTATATATGCATTTTTTGTTAATGAAAGAGAAGAGAAAGTGTACTTCCCCGGCACTCAGTCACGTTCAGGATGAGGAAGGCAGACCAACAGGAACCGAGGTTTTGTGTGAACTCGCTGATTGAGACTGATCTTTACCTTTACCATGAGGACAGGGTCTCACTGTCACCCCAACCACTTGCCTGACAGTATGGTTCCTGGGTGCTGGGGGACAGGGATAAGGAGGGGAGAGGTATTTAGCAGGAGGAATGCGGGTAGGAGTCTTTTGCGTGCTGGCAGGAAACCTGGGTCCACCAGTTCCAGAGACCCTTGTTTACCATAAACCAGAGGGTGAGGCTGGTGATGATCTGGAAGGTGTTCGTTCAGAAGCCAGCAGCTAAAAGGGGTGGACAGAGCCAGAGGCAGGCGGTAAGAAAAGCACGAAGAGCAATGCAGCCATAAAAATCACATACTGCCTTGTGCTGCTATCGAAATGTGCATCCGTTCATTTATACGTTCATTATTTCTTCAAGTAACAGTTATTGAATGCCTGTGTATTCACATTGTTGAACGTAAATTCAGTGCACCTTTGGAGGTGGTAGTTCTTTTTGTTTTTTGTTTTTGTTTTTGTGTTTTTGGTGTGGTGGTTGTTTTTCTGAGATGGAGTCTCACTCTGTTGCCCAAGCTGGAGTCCAGTGGCGCAATCTTGGCTCACTGAAAACTCTGCCTCTTGGGTTCAAGGAATTCTTCTGCCTCAGCCTCCCTAGTAGTGGGGATTACCTGGCTAATTTTGTGTGTGTGTGTGTGTGTGTGTGTGTGTGTGTGTGTGTGTGTGTGTTGTTAGTAGAGATGAGCTTTCATTATGTTGGCCAGGCTGGTCTCAAACTCCTGACCTCAATTGATCTGCCTGCCTTGGCCTCCCAAAGTGCTGGTATTACAGGCATGAACCACCATGCCTGACCTAAGGTGGTAGTTCCGTATCTAAGTCTAGAAGCATCTAACTTTTAAGTTTTGTTGTTGTTGCAGGAAAACATAGATCCTGATGCCGGACATGAGCACAGGACGGGCCGAAGGAGAAAGTGGAAGGAAGGCGGCTTCTCTCTCAGCCTCATCCTCCTGGACCTGTATGCTAGAGTCATGAGGTGCTTTATAGCACTCTACGTGAGGAGGGAAAGATGGTGCCCAACATATGGAGGCCACGCTAGGTCTCGTGTGAAACCCATGAGGTATGAAGGAGTAATTTTTCTTTCTAAGCCATTTCTCTGCTTATTTGTCAGATCAGCGCCCTTTGTGTTTGAACTTGGTGTGAATGACCATCTTAGTGATTCTTACTGCAAAGACAATAAGGAGTTAAATGACATATATATATATATTTTTTATGGTAAAGGATATAGAAATGTATCTGCATGTGATCAGTGTAGAATACTCCCAGCCAGAGGTGCGGTTTTCTGGTTCCCTCCTACATACATTATGTAACGGAAGCACACATATTACCCGATAAGGGGTGAAATTTCACCAGAGTAGGGAAGCATCCTGTTTTCCCTTTTCACAGGGATGGGGATAAGGTCAGGGGTAGGGTTATACCTTCTTTGCTCTCCCAGCTGCTTCTATATATCTTAGCCTGGATATGCTTAAAGTTAAGCCAAGACAAAGAGTCATATGCAGGTAATTTATTTCGAAAATGATACTAGGGATGAGGAGTGAGGAATGAGAGAGTAAAGCAGGGTGGCCGAAAAGCCACCACAAGCAGGCACTGTCAATAGAGGAATGGCCAGCAAGCACAGGAAAGGTCTCAGTGTTACTAGTCATCAGAATTGAAATGATAGCATGGGGAGAAATAACAGATATAGCTGAGGGGAAGGAAGGCAGCAAATCACACTGCCAGGTGTGTACCTATGCAACAATCTTGCATGTTCTTCACATGTACCCCAAAACCTAAAATGCAATTAAAAAAAAAAGAAAAAGAAAAAGAAAAAAGAAAACCACAACAAGATACCTACTAGGTGCCCATCAGAATAACTACGTTAAAAAGACTGCAGCAACAAATGTTGGCAGGGGTGTGGAACAATCAGAGCTCTCATAAATTGTTGGCAGAGGTGTAAACTGGTACAACTGCTTTGGAAACGTCTGGAGCTTTCTTAAAAAAATAAACACACACCTTCTATGACCCAACAATTTCATTCCTAGATATTTGCCCAAGGGAAATGAAAATATCTGTATATAGACAGACTTGTATAAGAATGTTCACAGCAGCATTATGCATTATAGTCAGAAACTGCAAACAGTCCAGGCCTGGTGGCTCACACCTGTAATCCTAGCACTTTGAGAACCTCAGGTAGGAGGATCGCTTGTGGCTAGGAGTTTGATACCAGCCTGGGGGAACATAGCAAGACATTGTCTTCACAAAAAATGAAAACATGGCTGGGCGCGGTGGCTCAAGCCTGCAATCCCAGCACTTTGGGAGGCCGAGGCAGGTGGATCATGAGGTCGAGAGATCAAGACCATCCTGGTCAACATGGTGAAACCCCGTCTCTACTAAAAATACAAAAAAATTAGCTGGGCATGGTGGCGTGTGCCTGTAATCCCAGCTACTCAGGAGGCTGAGGCAGGAGAATTGCCTGAACCCAGGAGGCGGAGGTTGCGGTGAGCCGAGATCGCGCCATTGCACTCCAGCCTGGGTAACAAGAGCAAAACTCCATCTCAAAAAAAAAAAAAAAAAAAAAAAAAAAAAATGAAAACATTAGCTAGACGTAGTGGCACACATCTGTAGTCCTAGCTATTCAGGAGGCTAAAGTGGGAGGATCACTTGAGCCCAGGAGTTCAAGGCTGCATTGAGCTATGATCTCACCATTGCAACCCAGCCTGGGTGATAGAGTAAGACCTTATCTCTAAAAAAATAAAAATAAAAATAAAAACAAAACATGGGCTGGAAACAGCCCACTAACAGAAGAATGGATAAACAAACTGTGGTATGTTCATGCAATGGAATATTGCCCAGTTATAAAAAGGAATAGAGTATTGATAGAATAATATGGATAAATATTAAAGCATTGCTGGGTGAAAGAAGCCTTACTCAAAAGAATATGGTATTTTCCTATTTAAAGTTCTAGAATAGGCAGAACTAATCTACAATGAAGAAAAATCAAAATAGTGATCTGTGCAGATGTGGGTGTAGAAGTAGGAGTTGACAGAGAACAGGCATGAGGGAATGTTGTTCTACATCTTCGGAGGAGTTTGGGTTACACACGTCAATGTACTTTTCAAACTTATTGAATGATACACTTACAATTGTTCATTTCATTGAATATAAATTTTGCCTTAAAAGAAAAACATCATAAATGAATAGTGAAGTAAAGCTAATGATATGCATGCTGAAATGTTAAGGGCGAATTATGCTGTTATCTAAAAAGTACTTTGAAATGCATTGAAAATAGATCAGTAGATGGATAGAACAATAGATAAATGGATATACATGTGGTAAAAGAAATAGAGTAAGATATTAGTTGTATAATCTAGATAGGGATATATGGGTTTTGACTGTAGAATTCTTTCAACTTCTCTGTGTGGTTGAACATTTTTATGGTAAAGTGAGGTAAAAAGGAAAATACATGATCTCATTGGCTGCAACTGAGCAACTGTTGTTCAAGCCTATCAGGACCTTTGAGTTTTCTGAAATCCACCTCAGAACCTAACACCTGGGTGGTGGAAGGCAAAACATTGACCTGTTGGCTTCTTTCTCATTGTGCCAGTGCTTAAAGCCCTCTTGCAGGTGCCCTGCACCTTAGAGAATTCCCAGGTAGGGAGCTAGGGGTACCTGGGATTCATGGGCTGACGTGGGATGCTTCAGATTGCACCTGTGTGTAGCTGGTCAAAGCCTAGGCAGAACCAAGAGTCAAACAAGAACATGTAAAGTGCTCCAGAAGTATTGTGTTAGGTACCCATCACTACATAACAGATTAGCCTCCAAACTTAATGGCTTACAACAAACAAACAGCTATTCTCCACAGTTTCTGTGGGGAGTCACTTAGATGGGTGATTCTAGCTCAGGGTCTGCCATGACATTATATTCAATATTTCAAGCCAGGGCTGCATTTATCTAAAAACTTGATTGGGGCTGAAAGATCCATCTTCAAGGTGGTGTACTACATGGTCCTTGGCAGGAGGCTCCAGTGTCCCTGCCACATGGGCCTCACAATAGGGCTGCTGAGTGTCCTTATAACATGGCATGTGGCATCCCCCAGAGTGAGTGATTATGGGGGGAGAAAAAAGTCACAGTGTCTTTTGTGACCTAGTCTTGGAAATCGCACACTGTCACTTCTACCACCTTTTATTCCTTAGAAGTGAATCAGTAGGCACATTCCACACTCAAGGAGAAGGGAATTAGGCTTCATTTTGTGAAGGAAGGAACATCAAAGAATTTCAGAACATGTTTTGAAACCACAACAGATTTCCATTAAGTTTCACCCTTGCACTTGTTAGGACTTTTGTGCTGTACATTAAGTCCAGTCTGCCCAGAGTCTTCTTCCAGGTAGTGGCTAGCTCCAAATCCTACAAGGACTAAATACAGGAGGGTTAATAGAACAAGTTACATTCCCTGCTGATGCAATAGGTTCCCAGTCCATATATAGCACTTGTCATCTCCGCTTTCTACCATTTGCTCTAGATTTCCTTTAACTTCGGCCATTCTTTGGCTGATATAGGTTGCTTTCCTAATGGCTGACTCAAAACTTTATCTCTGAGGGGTCTGAGCCTTTAGTTGACCTTGTAAAGTCATGATCACTGTGATTAACCATCCACCATCACCAGTCATGGAATCACCAACAATTGTCCCTGTGAATCTTCTACTTCCAGACACAGTCCTTCCTGCACACATTATGTAACAGCAGCCTTGGCTCTTTGTGGTAATAAGAGTCGAATACTCTTTTCAGCATAGGAACACCTCCTTTTTCTTGCTGGTCTACTGCCACGAGGAACCTAAAGTTCAAAAGCAATAATCATACCTTAAGGTGAATGGGAAGCTCTGTCATTTCTGCTAGTGCACATTTGCCTACCTGAAAGGAGGACAATTAATTCAGCAGAACCTAAGCTCATTTGATGGGAAGTGCACAACATTTTTAAGTGGATCATGAGAAGTGATGGTGAGGAGGGCAATCCTGCTTCTGCCTCATGCTTCCTGGACCAATGTTGCTAGACACTGGGGACATAGCACCGTGTATCAGCTACTGTTTTAGCACATGTGTACAGTATTCTGGAGGACAATGTCATTAGCAACAGGTTGCTGTACCTGAACCTGAGCTGACGCTAAAAATCCTTTTCAAGAACTTCTGCTTTTAATCATGAAGGAGTAAGTCAGCCTGCAATTACATTTTGAATGTAAGCAACTAGAAAACTAAACAAAATGGAATAAATTATTTTCAGATATTAGGTAAGAGTCCAGTGAGATTGTGATCCCCCCTGAAAAGGAAAACGTAAGGGGCAAAATACACGCTGGCATAGGCTTTCTGCACGTAGGTAACTCCAAGATTGTGATTCAGGGAGAGGAAATGATACAGTGTGGTCATTCCCACTGAGTTAAACAGAGATTGTAGTTCAAGAAGACCAAGGTAGCTATGACTTATAAGGCACAGCACCTAAGTCCGTTTCTGTTGTTGCAACTGAATACCTGAGACTATGTAGTTTATAATGAAAAGAAATCTATTTCTCACAGTTCTGAAGGCTGGAAGTCCAAAGTTGAGGGGTGTATCTGGTGAGGACCTTCCTATTGCTGGGGACTCTGCAGAGTCCTGAGGTGGTGTAGGGCACAGAGACGGAGCTGAACATGTTACCTTTGTTTCTTTCTCCTCTTATGAAGCCACTCATCCCTCACACTCATGGCCTCATCTCATTCTAATGACCTCCCAAAAGTGCCATCTCTCAAATACTGTAGGATGATTTCCCACCCTCTTAATATTGTTACAGTGGGGATTAAGTTTCAACATGAGTTTAGAGGAGACAAACATTCAAACCATAGCATTACTTGAGAGGAGAGTTCTCAAGAAATCTCTGGCTGGGCATGGTGGCTCACACCTGTAATCCCAGCACTTTGGGAGGCTGAGGTGGGTGGATTGCTTGAGCCCAGGAGTTTAAGAACAGCCTGGGTAACATGGTGAAAATCCATCTCTAGACAAAACACAAAATACTAGCCAAGTGTGGTGATGCACACCTGTAGTCCCAGCTACTTGGGAGG